TATGATCACCAAAGCTGCATTTATTTAATCAAAAACAGTAAAAACATTATTATTGTGAAATATTATTACAATTTATTTAACATTATATTATATTATATATTTCTAAATATATCTTAAATTGTCATTTATTCTTGTGATGGCAAAGCTGAATTGTCATCAGTCATTACTCCAGTCTTCAGTGTCACATGATCCTTCAGAAATCATTCTAATATGCTCATTTGGTGCTCAAGAAACATTTCTTATTATTATCAATGTTGAAAACAGTTGTGCTGCTTAATATTTTTGTGGAAACTGTAATAGATTTTTCAATGGTCAGGATTCTTTGAAGAATATAAGTTCAAAAGAACAGCATTTATTTCTTTTGTAACATTATAAATGTCTTAACTGTCACTTCTGATCAATGTAATGCATCCTTGCTGAATAAAAGTATTAACTTCCTTACAAAAAAATGTACTGACCCCAAATGGTTGTGTATTTTAAACAAATTTTTTCACCACTGATGACAACTGCAACATCCGCACAACAAACCACCAATAACAGCAAATTCTAGTGCGTGATCACACCTCATTGTAACACACACTAATGGAATTAAAATTCTAAGACAATTGGATATCCATCCTCTGCAATCAATACACACCTTCCACAAGGGACAAATTCAGCCATTGCAAAAACTCCCCAACGTCCACACCATAAAAGACACCTGACTCAGCTTAACTCAGAGGTTATCGTTAGAACTAACCTAACCCTGTCTCAATCCCCTTGTGCAAGAAACACATCCCTTTGCCCTATTCTTGTTCTGCTTTTGGACAGTGTGTATTGGGCTCCCTGCAGGAGTGTGCGATCTCTTGGGAATTTGTTTCTAAACACCGTTCTCTGTCCAGAGTCTCCAGGGAAGAGAGTGCTAAACCCAGTTATGTGGAAAGAGCTGTATTTAGCATTAGTGGTCGACCGATATATCGCTAAGGCCGATATTTGGCATATTTTAAATATCGGTATCGGCCGATAAGTTTTCCTGTTTGGCCGATGCGTTCGAGGTGGGACTTTTATTTTGACAGCGTGCCGGACTGTGCTCACATTCTCCCTCTTGTTCGCCGTCGTCGTTAACAGTTGTCTAATACGGATAGAAGTCTGTCTAATAATCCGATAGAACTGTTAAACAAAGGAATTAAAATGCATACAAAAAGTATTATAACGATTGCTTTTATATTATTAGTAATAGAAAGGCAAACATTATACTTAATACTTTCTCGTTTGCCATCAGCATTCAGCAAATACGCATTTATATCATTTAAACAAATCTTTGAATGACTAATTAACACTTAATTTCACAAACCTTGCAAACTAAGTCGGATCCAGTTTAGAGATCTTGAGAAGTGTGCATGTGACTTGCATGATCGCGTGTTCTCTGCGTGACGGTCGGTCCGTGCGAACTGAATGCGGACAGGTGGAGAGTTCAGCTTCACTGGAGACGCGTGATCGACAAACCTTATACTTGTGATTTTAAATTATGCTGCACTTTATGCATTTGCTCACTGCCATATTCATGTCATTTCCACTGTGTGCTGTATGTAAAATGAGTGTTACCTTGGCTTTATTTGAAAAAATA